CAAATTTCTAAACTCTATTTCATTATGCTGTCGTCCGAGTAATTCCCTTTGAAAAACTAACCGATCGTGGTAGGATTTTTTATATTTATAGAGGTGGTCAGATTATGAAACGATGCCCACTCTTTCCGGGGTTTACAGGTCTTTTAGGGGGTGTCGGTGTTTTCCTGGGCTCACGGAAAAGAGAGCCGACTAGGGAAGCAAATTCAACACTGGCAAGGATGGCTGGGTGCCAGGGCATTGAATTCCTCCACAATACGTCGGTTTCACGTGAAAACACGTCAATTCTCTCCTCTTTTTGTAGATTTTGGTCAATATTCGCTACCTTTTCGACCACAAAAAGTACAAAAACTATATTTTTTTAAGCATCGAGTATTTTCAATCGTGATCACCAATTTCGTCACCAGGTAACGCTCATCACCTTCTGGTTTGTCATGGAGATGTCAAACTCGTCATGAATATCACGAGGGGTTCAACATTCACCTCAAACCACGAGCACCGACTGCTTCCATGACCTGGAAGAGGCCCTTGAATGAAAGACCCGGTAAACGGCGGCCGTAACTCTGAAGGTCCTAAGTCGGCGAAAATCATAGTGACGGTACCTCGCCCTGGGTTGACGCGGTTGCCACGATGTTGTGTTTTTGAACCATTTCGTAGTGCACACTCGCCGAAATAAGATATAAAGCATCCACCTGTAGGGTGAACAGTAAACACCAGCAGTAAGGATAGTGTACAGGAGGTACGTCTTTGGAGAGTACTGTACGCACAAGCTCGAGTGGGAGAGTCTCTCTTGTTTCAACGTTTGCGTGGCGTTGGCTTGTAAGATAAATGCAACTGGAAGTCGCGCCGACAAAGGTTGCAAGTGCATCAGAAATGGACTTGTTGCCTGCGTCCGATTACGGTGGCATAATCAGGACACATGAGTTTTTCACCAGTGACGTATTCACGTCGATAGGAGGCTCATCCGCCGTCGCAACAAAACCTTGATTTGATGGGAGTTCGCACCAAAAACGTTTTCCAAGCAAGACGTGTAGTGCGCTAGCGCAGAGCGATCGTTTACGAAAGAACAATCTCTACCTATTTGGCTTGGATGGTGAGGTTCTCGGTCTGTGGTGCTATCGTATGCGACATGTACAAGCGTCGGTCAAATGAGTGCCTGTACCCACAGACTCCGTCGTGCGGCGCGAGGGTGCGACAGCCATAGGCGACCAGCAGAACACGGAGCATTCTCATGAACAGTGAGTGTCTGGGGCAAACGACTGGCGGTAAAATCATAGTCGCCCAAGTCGTGGCTCGATGATCCCCTTGTCGTGCAAGGAACAACACAGAGACAATGTGCATTGCTATATTCGAACGAAAACTGCTTGGTGGGGCTCCTATTCGCTTTGAATCAAACGCTTCTGTCTTGAGGCTGTGTCCACTGCAACTACATCGTTTAGCTGGAGGATGCCTTCGACCTGGTAGAACTTGCACGACGTCGTGAGATAAATCGTGGTTGTGTTCAACCAATCCGCCGACTAAGAGCGACAGCGACCATGCTCCATGAGCTCTGAACGTCGCCGTTTGGGTGTGACTAGCGAGCCACCTGGACAACCGAATGTATTGTCATGTCTCGCCCAAACTGTCGGCAAACTTGCTTTTCAAGTGTTCGTTGTCGCGTGAGTTCGTCGTCTGATTCAGAGCCAGCGCCCGCGCCAAAATGTCATCAGATTGCTCTGGATACAAGGTACACAACCTTTTTGAATGCATATCCTATGATACTGCATAATTGCAATTCTCAAGCAGATAAATATATCATAGACATTGGAACCTTTTCTATTCAGTACCCTATGTTATCCTATCCAAATCAGAATCTCGTCCAACCGAATGATAGCCATGTCGTATCCAAGGCCAGTTGTCGTTTTGACTAGCACCACGACATGAAGGTCTTTACTCTCTTGGCGCTGGCGGCGGTGGCATGTGCTGCAGACGACGCCAGAGGAAAGCGACTCATCGCGACGTCCGACTCCACGGCGGAATGGCTCACCCCCTCTGAGGTATGCCCCCTTTGCTCGCCCCCTCTTGACCACCCGTTTAAAATGGTAGATTTCAGACTTGGAAGCTCGGTCGATTGGTTTTGTGGATGCGACCAACGGTGACTGGGACAAACTGGCGGCGTACAAGACCCTTCGCCACGAAATCTTGCGACTGGCTCCCAAGAAATTCCCCACTGGCCCTGGCTACAAGTCTGTCGTGGGCGCGGCGATATCAAAAATCAAGACGGCTGACTTGAAGGCGTTGCTGACAGACTTTGTCACCAAATTTTCGACGCGTTACAAGGACTCCGCCCAAGGGGTCCAATCGTGCGCGTGGATTTTCGATCAAGTCAAAAAGTTGTCGCCCACGCGACCCGACGTGAAGCTCACGGTGCGGCAGTTCAAGCACTCGTGGGGGCAGTACTCGGTCATCGCTCGGTTGGAGCCCACAGTCAAGGCCAAGGCCAACGATATTGTGATCGCTACAGCTCACCAAGACTCGATCAACCGCTACAACATCCAGCAAGCGCCAGGAGCCGACGACGACGGGTCCGGCACGATCACAATTCTGCAGGCGCTCAAATACTTGCTCGCGACCAAGCAATGGGTGCCCGTGCGCCCCGTGGAGTTTCATTGGTACTCAGCCGAAGAGACGGGTCTCCAGGGGTCGGCGGACGTTGTCAAGACGTACGCCAGCCAGAGGGTCGACGTGTACGCCCAGATGCAGCAGGACATGACGGGTTGGGTCGCCCCGGGCAAACCCCCCGTTGTGAGTTTCATGGACGACAACACGGACCCCGGCCTCACGGCGTTCCTGGAGACCCTTGTCAAAGCGTACTTGTCGATTCCGGCCACACACGGCAATTGTGGCTACGGGTGCTCCGACCATGCGTCCTGGAATCGCGCGGGGTACCCAGCGTCGATGCCATTCGAAACCAACTTCCGCGACTTGAACCCCAACATCCACTCGACCCGCGACACGTTGGCCACGATCGACTACAACCATATCGCCGAGTTTACCAAGTTGACCATGTCATACATCATCGAATTGACGCAAGGGGTGCGCTAGATGATGGTTGTGTTGGTGGAGACGCCAACGGTTCGTGCCGTGTTGATTTGTAACAAAAAAACATCGATGTTGATGAGTCCCTGAATCGATCGAGACACGCCTGGTGACGGCAGGAATGCTTACTTCAGGCGGGGACGATGTCGACGACTGCGAGCCAGGAAACCGGCGTACTCGTGGCTTCAGTCTGGTCAAATGGATGGAGAAGAGTGATGCCGTGACGACGGAGGAATGGATGGCGCCATGGAGAATGCTTCCCGTGGTTGCATGGCACGTACGTAGTAGCTCTCATATCGGGCATGGGGAGCACTGTAGTGAGGCGATCCATCCGAGCAACCTCAGTTTTGTCGCACGTTGCATGGCGGGTGGAAGTTCGTGGTCACTGCGTCGTCGTGAATCGATGTTGTATGGTTTGGATTTGGCAGGCAGCCTCTTTTCCATATGGCGAAAGTCAACACGATATCGTTGGCAGGAATGGGCACATCGACCAGCGACGCGCAGTGCCCATGGAGCCCCCTACTGGGAGAGGCCAATTGCGTCGAGCACGCTTCTCAATGAGCCGTCAAATCAGTCGTTAAGCATGGACTAGGCGTTTGGCGAAAAGTAATGTCACGACCAGGATATATGTGGGTTATTCAAAATGAAAATCGATACACAACACATCGTTCAACTCGCGGGGTTTCTTTCACAAAGCACAAGTGGCTCATACACGAAGGAGACGTTTGCGCTCCTCAGACTTGCTCTTCTTTTGGGCTCGATGCTTGTGCACAACATACACGACAAGGCCAGCAAAGCCTGCAAGAACCACCGAGCCCACTGCCCATGCTGCCGTCGAGTTGCGATACATCGCCGCTCTCAACAGCAGTGGCTCTGTGGTGACGGGTGTATCAGTGGCATTGCCAGAGCTAACATCAGAAGTAGAGTTGGTGTCAGCCGCTTGAGTGGTGGTTGGTGAAGCTGTGATGGATGCTTCGCTTGAAGGTGCATCGGTTGCAGGAGTTTCTGTCGAAAGGAGGGCATCAGCTTGATGCAACTGCATGGAAACAATGACAGCCAAATCCCCTTGGTGATAGCGACGAGAGGGACCGTTTGGGTGGTCAG